TTACACACTTACACACAGGGTGGTGGGTGGGTGCTCTGGTGTAGTTTACTCCTTCTATCAATCATCTATCATCCTTATTTCTCTTCCTTCCTTTTTTGTGTTTATTACTCTTCTTCTAACTCCCCTTTTCTTCGACATTTATATGACCTTAATTGTGCTGCAAGTGCCGTTAAACGTTTACTAAAACAATCCCCCCCCCTCCTGATTTTCCCTCCCACCTTACCCCTTGTCACCCTGACAGGTCCGGTGCCTGGAGCCCTGGCACGTCGCTGGGACAACAGGACTGTGGTCATTCTGGGCGGTCTGGTGATGGCCAGTGGATTCCTCTTCAGTTACTTCGCCATGAATGTTTATTTCTTAGTGGTGACCATAGGGATAATAGCAGGTACGTAGTAGAAGGAACGGATGAAGAATAAGTGAGTGGATGGATGGCGGACGCTTTCGGGTGTGGTTTGCTCTTTTTTCTGATCAAACATCTATCGTCTTTCTCTCTTCTCTTTCTTTTTCTTTGGTATGTTTTCTCTAGTAACTTGAGTAGCCCCTCACATCTATCATCCTTAGCTCTTCTCTTTCTTTTCTTTGTGTGTAACTCTTTAGTAACAATAACACCGCTAATCTTCGGAATTTATATAACTTATTTGTGTTGCCAGTGGCATGGAACTCTTACTACTGCAAAAAATGAGGAAGAATACTGTTGTTAGCTTGAAGGCATATATACCTCCTATACTGTAATTTTAAGTATTGTGGCCAGACCTTTTCGTGTTCTTCTGCCCGCTTGCATTGGCCACTTTTGTGATCTATATGTGTTCATGTAAAGTTTTAGCTCAGGAGACCAGGTATATATTTATAGAGGTCATTTGGAAGAGGAGATTAGGCCTGGTGGTGACGGGTTGAGCCTTATTTCAACGCAACTGACGTGATGATGATGTTTTTTGTCATTCGCAGGCGAAGACGACTTTAAACATAAAATCACGGGGGGAGAGGCGAGGGGCTGCGTGGAGATGGCTAATCAGAGAAATGTCTTTTAAAAAGGGGGGGGGGGGTAGTAGGTGATGTGTAAGGCTGAACTATGCTGGGAAGGGAGGCTCTCTGGTTTTTAATCAGCTGACGTCTCTGTTCTTTGGAGCTGATGCGTTTCTTTCCGAATCCAACAACATAACTTATCAATAAGAATGCCAGATAGGGCTGTCTTAAGCAGCTTCTTCCCAGGTGGTATAGGGAACGTCACATCGCTTCAGGAATGCTTTCAGAGCATATTTCTGTAGTTTTTGTTTTCTATCCGCTGATACTGATGTATACCACGGATGTCAATCTTAAGGGACGAGACTCATGATCTTTCTGAAAAAACTGGACGACCTCTTCAAGTTTTAAGCATCGAGCCAGAACGGACAATATCATGTACAATATCTCGAGTAGACACGTCCTTATTGCTATACAAATACTTATCAAAAACTTTTTCGAGTTCGTAGGTGTGTTGATCTGTCCAGTGTCGAGTTGCAGTGCGCTTGCAATGATATTTACCAGTTCATTTCTGGAGATTTTCAAATATCGTATGGGGTTACTGATAAAGGCTTTAAGCTAAATCATGCTGAGAGTCGATGTTTATACTGATAAAAATTATCTGCGCATAAACCAGTTATTCCTAAAATGAGATATATGCAGTCCTTGGGCGCACACCATGCACCTTTTAATAGATAACCAAACCACATTTCCATGACACCGCGTTCTTAATCCTTGACTGGATGAGGTTTGCTTCTGAATGACGCCCATTCTATGAATTATTACAGGAGTAAAGATTTCTAACTACTTTGGTTTCTTTTTAGTTGCAAATGTTTTTACGCCCTCAGTTTAGATCTTTTAGGAGGCGCGCGTCCGATCCTGCCTGTCAGGGCCAACAAGGGCTGAGAGGGATGCAACGTCCCGTTCGAAAGACCGATAGATACTTATTAATAAGAATTTCCTATTGTCTTGGGAATCAAACTCGGGTCCCCTGTGTGTGACCACTACACCACTGACGCTAGTATCTACGTGTGTGCATCATGGAATATGTAATATGTCATCAGAAAGTATATTATACGCCCTGGTGCTCTTGGTGTCCCGAACTGTTTCCCCGTTACGCGTAATACATTGTACCTCACGACTAAACGAAGTTAGTAATGTGTGTTCCTTCAACTTCTATTGGTGTAATAAATGCGACACATAATAACGTATGATATTTTGACCTCAATTCAAATGTTATACTTCTACCTTATTTTTGTCTCTGTGGGTGCCGACATATAGGTAGCAGTTCTACAAATATGCTCTTGCCTATTTTCTCTTGTTCTCACACAAAGGGCACAGTTATTAATAATTATTACACCATGCCTGTTTTGCCTAAAGCACTGGAGAAAGCAGATTTTTCTCGTTCTAAAATACAGCTTCAAATATCTCCAGGTTCTATAGTTACTTTTGTTAATCACACAGACCGTTATTTGAGGATAATTACTCCCCTCCTTCTTCCTTCCACTCTTCCTGCCTCCCCCCCTCTCTTCCCCATCCCCCTCCCGTCCTCCCCCTCCTCCTCCCCTCTTCTTCCCCGTCCTCCTTCCCACTTCTCCACCTCCCCTCTTCCACCCATCCTTCTCTCACACGCATGATGCCGGACACACTTTAGTGACCATGCACATAAAAGCCATCGCACCGAAAAATCAATGTCTATAATAATGATGCAGTTACCTGTATGTTGCACATTATATCATACTGTTCAGGTCTTTCTGTTAACGCCGTTTGCTTTACGACTGGCCCTCTGCAGCGGCGAAGAAAGTCAATAGCAGATTTTACGTAACATTACCCCTTAAACTTAAACCTTTAACTTTTTTCAACAGGTACTGGTGCTGGTTGTTGCTATCTCCCATCCGTGTCCATGGTTGCCATGTATTTCACTTCCAAGCGCTCGGTCGCCATGGGGATCGCCGCGTCCGGTTTAGGCGCTGGGGCATTTTTCATGGCACCGTTCATAAATTGGTTGGTAGACTTCTATGGGTGGCGAGGCTGCATGCTCATCTTGTCCGGGATCTCGCTCAACATGTGTGTTCTCGGCTCTCTGATGAGGCCACTAAACAAAGCCCCGAGATGTCGTAACTGTCGTTGGGAGGTGGACGAGGTGGACCTCATCTCCGACAACTTCTCCTCCACGGCCTCCAGGAAAAGTGTCACCGTCGGGGATTGTGGGAGCGTTGCTGACGCATGTGCAAGCGAGTGTGAGCACGAGATGTGCAGTGGTGTCGTCGATGTCAGCGAGAGCGGGGGCGGTGGCTTCATGGCCGGCTGTAGACGTCCTCGCACCTGCGTGTATTCATCGCTTCCAAAGTACGAGATGGACTCGGGTGTGTCCCCCGTAGCGTATTTCCCCGCCCACCCAGCCGTAATCTCGCAGCATGACGGCAAGCACAGCAGAGGCCATTCTCCTGAGAGTGGTGTTAAACATAGCAACGAGCACTCCCGGCACGACAAGCCAGATTTGAACTCTGATAATCTGTCTTGCAACCTTAGTGCTCCGGACGCTGCTTCCGACGTCCCCTTATTAGGAATACGTTCTCGCCAGATGAGTCCTGAAAGTGAGCGGAGGTCGTTTGGTTCCCAACCAGATCAGTTTTCTCAGAGCAACTCGTCTCACCTATGCAATGATTCCTTTACGTCACCAAAAAATACTCTTACATCTCAGTCGAGTCATGATACCAAAGGAAATCATGCTTTCTTGCAGAACAGAGCAGTAGAATCTTTGAAGGTGTTGGAATCAAGAGTACGCAGGGGAAGCATAGACGCTACAACTTCTTCTATCAAATTTGATTCCAATATATCCAAGCAAAAACCTTACGCAAGCCAAATGGAGCTGAGGGACAAGAACTCTATAATATTCTCAAGCCCTGGTCCAAATCCAGAGCCTGCCATTGTGTCGTCTTTCAATGACCTTCAGGTAATGCTGACTGGAAATATTGGGAGTTTAATGTTTCTGGACAAAGCCTTCAGCCCTTCCATGACGAGTATGTGTGCCAGTAAACCTTCTGTGCTCGTGGGTTCTCATCGCATGGATCAAGGGTCAGAGGCCATCTCCGATGATGGACTTGATGGTAAATAGCATTCTTTTTGTTCGCACGTTTGACTCTTAAGATATTCATTTACTGTGAAAAAAGTCAACAAATTAAGATGACTCATCATTATATATAGCATTTGATGTTGCATTGCCATTAGTCTAGTTCACGTACTGCTGTCTGTGCTCTCAGAAAGACACATCCTCTTGTCCTGTTGACCTGTCTTTCATGTTCATCCCTGCCTGTAGCAAACAGCTTTTCTCCCCGTCACCCCCCCCCTCTCTCTCTCTCTCTCTCTCTCTCTCGTTCGCTCATCCCCCTCCTCCCTCTCTACCTCCTGTCTCTCTTTCTTTTGCTCGCTCATCTCCATCTTCCTACCCCCCCTCCCTCTCTCTTGTTCACTCATCTCTCACTCTTGCTCTCCTCCGCTCTCTCTGTCACAGCCTCACTCCCTTTTACGTTGAAGTGCTCTCCTGTGTTGCCATGATTAACTAGGCCAGCTTTCAGTTTACCTTATTGTTGATCTGTCTGCATCGCCTCATTAGCATCAGCAGCAGCTCTAGCAAGTGCACAACAGAACTTTAAACGTACTGTTAAAGTACAGAAAGGATATTATTTATTCGCGCCAGATTTGCCAATAAATAATTTTCAGGATCACCAATAGAAGTTCTCTTTCATCTAACAAAATGGGTGGCATCCGGGAGAAGTCAGGAGCTCGTCAAAATAATAAAATCAAAGACAGCATTTTTTTCTGCTCTTTACTTGAAGCAGTATAATCGAATTCCTTTTTTTTTTGACGCATCACTTTTTATGTTCACTCAAAACACATTTCTGTGCGGATTTTACTGAAAGACTTTGACCAACGGCACAGAAAGTTTAAATTTGCAGTTTCCAAGAACACTCAAGCTTTGGGAGTCACAGAACTTTGACGGCCATTTTCTCGTTAATTTTACCCGAGAAACATTGCGAACACCACATACTTCAATAACAGATATATCTGTCTACACTTTTGTTCAAGATGGATGGGCATTTTCCCTACCAAAAGCCAGAAAATTAAATTAACAAGCTAAGGTGTAACTACGAGATTACCCCCAGATATGTATGCACCAAAATTGATGAACGCCTATTTCACCGTATCGTGGCACATTCGATGCTGCAGTCATCCCTGGGATGGTCATCCAAGATTATTTTTATCTTTTTCAATTTCTCATGTTTCTCTTCTTGTCTCATCTCTCTCTCTCTCTATTTATCTCTCTCTCTCTCTCTCTCTCTCTCTCTCTCTCTCTCTCTCTCTCTCTCTCTCTCACACACACACACACACACACACACACACACACACACACACACACACACACATGCTGTCGCACCCCCCACCCCCACCCCCACCTCTCGTGCCCCCCCCCTTTTCACACACACAGGCACACACACTCTGTACACTTGATTTTAGACACACAATTGCTATTGCGCATATATTCTGTGTGCGCACACTTTCAAAGAGGGTCATTGTCAAATTCGGTCCTCACACAAACCATATTATTACTTGTTCACTGTGTGTCCGCTTGGAATTCCTTAATTTCACTCTTATTGTTGCCATTCTCCTACCTGTCTTCTTTCAGCCTTGCCTCATCAACATGTCCCTACAGTCATCTCTCCCTGTCTTCTCAAAGCTATTCTTTCATTTTAAAACTTTGAAATTCTAGGGTTATTTTAGTAGGGGGCTAAATATATGGGCCTATTTTTCTGGTTTTATTACGTTGATGTTTCTGAAACGTTGCACACTTTGCTATTCTTTTTCATTACAGGAGATAAATAATTTCTCTCTGTGCACTGTCTACCTTTAGTAATTGTACAGCGTTAAGAGCTTGTTTCCATTCGGTACAAAGCGCTATGGCAATTAAATGCAATCTATTATTGTAGTAGTAGTAGTCGTCGTAGTCGTAGTAGTATTAGTCGTAGTAGTAGTAGTAGTAGTAGTTTTAGATGATGATGATGATGATGATGATGATGATGATGATGATGATGATGATTAATCGGTATTACATTTCCTCTCCTGGCAGGCCCTAAGAACACTTGGTGGCGAAAGTTTAAGGCTCCAATGCTCACCTACATTCGCCTGCTCCAGAATGGGACCTTCTTAGTGTTCAGCATCAGTAACTTCTTCACAAATTTGTCCTTCTTTATGCCTGTGCTCTACATGGTGGACAGAGCTCAGGACAGTGGGTGAGCAATGTCGCTCTGTTCTCTCCTGTTGATTTTAGTTTGCTGCAAGAAATAAGGTGGAAAAAATCATGAAAGAAAAGATTCCCTGTCGTTGGCTTTGGAAAATGAGGAAAATGGTGTTAAGTGTTAAGTCAAGCGCGTGAACACACAGAGACACAGACACACACACACATACTCACACATACACACACACATACACATAATATATAAGCAATCATTATAATTGTACTCCAGCACACGCACATGCACTCACACATACACTCACATACAAGCGTACAAACACAAACACGTAATATATACGACCCACGTGGAAACATGTGAGTGCACATGCATACATATGATCCTCTATGAAATAAAATGCACTGTCTTGGGACAAAAAAATCAAATTATTTTGTTACTCCTGCAGATTTTTAAATTCGATTTTCTTTATTCTTCAATTTAAAAACTACACCCATGCTTTGACGGACGCACCGTTTGCTCATTCAGTATCTGTGCTGAGCTATGCATGGAGCGGGTGGCCCTGATTCTGATCCCCAACGTGGCGTTATGAACTTTGATTGCTTTGGGAAGTCTTTAAGGCTTCCCACCATTTGACTCTGTCCAATTGGAAAAGGTAGTTAAATTAGGAGCCCCCGACGTCTCTTGAATACTTACAGTGTTAAAAAGGTGTTAAACCTTATATAATAGATCTATAACCATGCTAAGATCCCCAAGGCCCTCAAAATATTTTTCCCCTTTTAGTCCAAACTTTCTGCGGGTCATTGGAGAGTGCCACTAGTGGGTCCTACTTCTTTTACTTCCCTCTGCTGTTTCTGTCTATCAGTCTTGCCTGTTCCTCGTATATGTCGTTTGACCGTTATTTTGTTGACGAGCTTCTCTTTTCTTAAATTCAAACTCAAACCAAACTGTCTTCCAGGATCCAGAAAGGAGACGCAGCGATGTTGGTATCCGTGTATGGCGCCGGCAACATCTTTGGGAAGCTGTTTTTTGGCTGGCTGGCTGACCGAGGCCTGGTGGACCGCCTCTTCTACTACATCGCCTGCCTCACAGTGTGTGGGGTTTCTACTTCCCTGAGTCCCCTGTGTGGTTCGAATCACGTGCTACACAGCTCATACGCGTTTGTCTTTGGATGTTTTATAGGTACGAATTGAAACTTCTTTAAAAAAAATAAAAAATTGGTGTGATGCTGTTTTTATGCTCTCTTAATAATAATAATAATGGATTGCATTTATATAGCGCATATCCACTTATACAATGCTCTATGCGCTTGACATGATACATATTATGGATTTACAAATCAATTTTAAAGGTACATAGTGTTACATACTCGTGCAAACACATATTCACTCACGCACGCACCACACACACATACATACGCACATACGTACATATGCACATACGCACATACAAACTCACAACGATCTACAGCTTGGATGGATTCTGTCTAATCGAAATATGATGAAAATAGAAATGTTTTTAGTTTCTTCTTAAAAATTTCTAGATTTTCTGCTTCTCTGATAGTTTTTGGAAGCCTATTCTAAACAAGTTGGGCAAAATATGAAAAAGAGCGTTGGCCATATGATTTGTAATTTATTTTAGGCTTAACAAGGGTTGTTTTGTCACTTGATGATTTGAGCGTTCTAGGCACATAGGGTGTTAAAAACTGTTTTAGATAGTCCGGTGATAAATCATTTAAGCGCTTGTAGCAAGTTAAACAGATTTTATATATGATACGCTCTTTCACCGGGAGCCAGTCCAATGCTTTAAAATAGGAGTCACATGATCGTGCTTTAGTTTTTTAGTAATTATTTTAGCAGCAATATTTTGTACTCTTTGTAGTTGTTGTAACTGTTCATTAGGTACACCAGCCAGTAAGGAATTGCAATAGTCAATCCTTGACAATATAAGTGATGTTATTAAAGTTTTGGTGACACCAACAGATAGATATTTTCTAATGCTCCTTATTTTCTTCAGTTGGAGATATAGATTTTTACAAAGATTGGATACATGGTATTTCATTGACCTATCTTGATCTAGCACTACACCTAAATTTTTTATTTTAGTTTGGGATGATATTTCGTGGCCATTGATGTTTATTTTGATATTGTCGATTTCATTGCATGCGCTGCTACTAAGAAATAATATTTCGGTCTTACCCTCATTTAATTTTAATTTGTTCTTGAACATCCATTTTCTTATATCATTGATACATCTGGCGATTCTATCTATGAGATTGTGTACATTGTCAGTTGTAGTGAATCCATACAGCTGTGTATCGTCTGCATAAAGATACACAATAATAATGATGATGATGTTAATAATGATATTAATAATGATGGTAATAATAATAAGGATAATAATAATAAGGATAATAGATAGCATTTGTATAGAGCAAATTCCCGCTCAGCTGCAAGCTCTTTGTGCTTTTCAGCTTTTCAATCTATATTTCAGACCATAAACGGAAGAACTAGCAAGTTGTTGCCAGTATTTTTAGGAATTGTGATTAAGCAATGTGACCCTTTTAATTATCTCCTTGCAGGTGCTTATGTCACTTTAGTTCCTATCGTGACCGTAGATCTCATGGGGCTCTCAGTGGTCGGAGAGTCGTTTGGACTTCTGCTCTGCTTCATGGGTGTAGCCACAGCTTTCGGGAGCCCAGTCGCTGGTGAGTGAAACAATCTAGGTAGATCAAACAACTCTGTTGTCTCTTCCTCATATTTTCTCATCAAAGGAGAAATATAGGCCTATTGAAATTTTCTCATATGGGGAAATCAATAAAAAATGGAAATTTTCTTATGAGGGGAAATCGAAAAAAGTAAAATCCTCCCCCTCCCCTCTTTCCCCATTTTGAACATGCTCTATTTGATGTAGGATCAAGATAGGGCTCATGAGGTGAGTGTTACAGTGCATCAGGGGGAGAAAAGCAGTTAGGCTTTGTCTTACAAGAGCAGGAATCTACGGGCTGTGATGTGTGAAGGAGTAGGGGTGTTGGGAGGGGTTGGGAAATGCTTCACTTTTTCTGAAGGTTCATCTGATTGGATGTTGAATTTTTTTTTTGTTGGTGTGCTTTCTTTTCATCTGCAATAGCTTATGGTGTATGTATTACACAGCACCTATTTTAGCTTTTTGTGGGGGAAAATTGGGAAGACCAAAATTTCAATAGTAGAGTTTATTGTAAAATGTTTCGAACCCCACTCAACACAATTTAGATAATTTAGGGGCTGCTAGCATGATATGCTTTGATTCTGCCTGTTGAGGCCGTCCTTGGCCGATTAGGATGCAGCTTCTTGACAGTCAATAGTTGACACAGTAAAAACTATAACTTCCTCGCGTAGGAATCAGACTTTCTTCTTCTTTTTGTTTGCAGCTTTTGTAATTTGTAACCACTGATGCCAGTGGGTACTGATGATTAAGGTTGAGATGTAACTGTTCTCTAAGTCTAAGGATGAGGGCTTTTAAATAAATGTTTCGATGAGGTTGCAAAATACAATGACAATGACAATTATTATTACCTGTATTACCTGTCCTGGGCAACAACGTCATTGCACACTAGACAGGTCCATAAAAGCTCAGTTTCTCCCTGCACCAAAGCCCGCGAGGTATCCATACTGTCTGATTATGACGACATCTTTCCTTTCCAGATAACCGTTCCTTTCTTCCTTCTCCCCTCTCTATCCCCATTTCCCACATCCTGTTGATTGCATGGTGTTCTGCTGTCTCCCTATCTTCCTCATCCCGTAACTTTTCCTCCAGGGTCTTCAACACTTCCTTTGCCAAATTTCACCTCACCATCAACCACGGCACTGCCTGCCAGCCTATCATCCTCCTCATTGCCCTTCACTCCAGAGTGCCCAGGACAGAATATCCGCATGATGGCTCTAAGTGATGAGTGTTTTATTGGGTTCATCCATTCACTCCGAAGCAGCCCTTTCTCAGCCCTTCGCAGGATGTTCTGGGAGTCTGTGACAATGATGAGATGGGTAGTTCTTGGTCTTGTATTTTGAAGCAAACCAAGCGTTCTTGTTACGGCCTCAATCTCCATTTTTATTCATGAAGTTGTTCTTTCTATGGCCCCTGACAATGACAATGACAATCTTTATTCACCTTACAGGGAGAAATTTGTCTTGGTAGTTTACAATGTCTGTGGATGTTACAAAGGTTAGGTGCACTCATGCATACGCATCACAAGACAGGACATTAGTAAATACATGTGTGCATGTCTCATGTGCTTGAACACCCCGCTCTGTAAAACATTCTTTCTCTCTCTCTCTCTCTCTGCCTCTCTCTCTCTCTCTCTCTCTCTCTCTCTCGCCCCCTCTCTCTCTTTGTCTCCCCCCCCCTCCCTCTCTCTGATTCATTTGTAGCACAGTGTGTTCAGTAACTTCACTGCATTTGGTGCGAATGAATTTCCATATCTGTCTGTTCTTACTTACACGTACTTAGATACATTAAATATCAATATCAAGGCAACCCCTTTCTCGCAGGCTGGATCTTTGATGCCACCGGGAGCTACACCATCTCCTTCATTCTGCACGGACTGTTCATCGTGTTCAGCGCTCTCATGTTGTTGCCACTGCTGGTGATGAAGCGGAGGCAGAGAGACGGGGCTGCAGTACCGGTTGTGGAGGTTGAGGAAACAACGTGACAACCCAAGATGGCCAACCCTACCCCCCCCCTACCCCCCTACACCCCCCCTCAAAACCTATCCCCCTCCCTCCCACAAAAAAAATCCCCCGTCATCAACCAAAAACTAAACTATAGGCAAGAGAATGAAATATTTTATGTACAGAGATTGTTGAGAGAGTGGGAGTGAAATAGAACAGAAAAAATGGCAAAGAAAATAAGGGAAAAGAGTGATTTGTCAGTAAGTGTGTAGATCTGCCTGTTTGTGTATGTGTGTTTGTATTTAGGCTATCGTATGTACATGTGTGTATATGTATATGGGTTTGTGTGTGTGTGTGTGTGTGTGTGTGTGTGTGTGTGTGTGTGTGTGTGTGTGTGTGTGTGTGTGTGTGTGTGTGTGTGTGTGTGTGTGTCCAGACATTACATTTTTATTATTATTATTATTATTGTTGTTATTTTTATTATTATTATTGTTATTATTAGTAGTTATAGTAGTAGTAGTAGTAGTATAACAATAATTATTATTAACGTAGTTGTTACTAATGCTATTATTATGATTTTTATTACAGGCCCTATTATTTTATTTTACAGTTATTGTAACTGTCCAGATTGTTAATTCATTAGTTCTATCATTATCATTATTATAAGTGTTATTATTATTACAATTATTATTATTGTTATTATTATTATTATTATTATTATTATTGTTATTTTATTATCATTGTTATTATTATTTATCAATATTATTGTTATTATTTAATAATCATTACTAGATGGTTGAGTGGAGTTTAAACACTGCATACACTTACGGGCATGCACACGCGCACACACACACACACACACACACACACACACACACACACACACACACACACACACACACACACACACACACACACACACACACACATTAGATATTTTAGATGTCTATGAAACAACGAGAGATGGATAGGAATATGTGTATTCATGTGTATGTGTATGTATGTGTGTGTGCGTATACGTGTGTGTTTGTGTTTGTGTGTGTGTGTGTGTCTGTGTGTGTAGGCGTGAATGTGCCTGCTTATGATAAAGAAAATTGAAATGGGTTAGTTGGACAGGATAAAAAGATGAGACGGTAAGGGAGGGAGAGGTTTGGGGAGGTAAATAAAAGAAGATTGAGAGAGAGAGCAAGAGAGAGAGAGATCAAGAGAGAGATTATGAGAGAAGTGGGGAGAGAGAGAGAGAGAGAGAGAGAGAGAGAGAGAGAGAGAGAGAGAGAGAGAGAGAGAGAGAGAGAGAGAGAGAGAGAGAGAGAGAGAATATTTCCAAGATGTACGATCATGACTTTCCAGAATGTGCCAGTTGTTTGGTGGGTCACCATTATGTGTGGACACTCCCATGTATTGTAACATTGCCTGATATTGCACATATAACTAACCCATTTGGGTCTTCATATCAACAAATTTCCTGCTATTTTCCATTATTGAGTACTGTCGAAATTGTCCAAGACAACCACCCTTTGTCTTGGAGAAAAGTCTTTGTCTTAGTTTTAGTTTTAGTAGGGTTTTACGGTGCTCGCAACTGCATACGGTCATATGAGCACCAGAAGAATAGACATGTTACTAGAGAGAAACAGACAAAAAAAGAAGAAGGGGAGATAAGGACGATAGATGCTTCATTGGAAAGAAGAAGCAAACCGCACCAGAGCACCCGCCAACCACCCACTCTGTCTTAGGCATGATTTGGAGAGTGTCTTTATAATATGTATGTGTCATGACGTGGTGGAATCATTAAGTTATTTGTAAAAACTTAAAGTTTGTTCATTTGTTTTGTATTTGGTGAACAAATTAAATATAAAAATACCCATCAGTTTTTAATAGAAGTCAAGATATTTGCGATTGAAGAAGGTGGGGGCGGCCTGGTGTCAGAGCTGCCAAATTTTTGTGACTTCCAAAGGTTGCAGTGTCCAAGGGAACTGGAAATATACATTTTTTGTGCCTTTGTCGAATGTTTTTCGGTTAAATCCACATAGAAATGTATTTTTATAGGTGTTGACCCAAAAAACAAAAATTAGATAAAATTGCCAAACGGGGAAAAATGCTGAGATATCTCCAATTTCATTATTTTGATGAGCGCCTGAGTTCACCATGATGCATCACATATATATATATAAAATAGAAAAAGTAAAAGGGTTGAAGTGGGAAGTGGTTGTTTGTACAGGTGATTGTCTTGAACAAGTTTGACTGTATTTTCTATTTTCCTTAATCTGCAAAGCTGAAATATCAGCTCCAGTTCTACGTTATTTGTCAGTAGTAAAGTGTTGATGTTCAGCTGATGAACGAGTCAAATATTTTAGTACTGATATTTTGAATTATACCCCTTGGGGGTTTCATGATGCTGATGTTTAACTGCTCACTTGATTTTAAAACTACTGTGTCTATCATGTAGAAATGAAATGATATTTAGGCAAACCCGCCTGGGTCCTAAGGTCTATTTTGCTGCTATGTTGAAAAAAAAACAACCCCTGATTGTCTTGCTTGTTTTCCTGTTCCATTTGTGCATATATTTAATATACATTATGTATAATTTTGTTGTTGTGTGACTGAATGAAGCTGAAAGCTTAAGAGCAAGACCAAATGGACCGCCCCTCAACCCACCCCACCCTTGGTCATGTATGCAAGGTGTCAATATTTTTCACTTGGAATGAACTTGAAAATAAATCTTGCAGTGCCTTAACACGATTTGAGATCAAGACAGTATATTTATCACCATTGTCCTTCATTCTTTGACTTTTATATTGATTTCCCTTGATTCGCTGCTGTCTATACAATACTTATTGGTACTCTTCTTTTATTGTTGGAGAAGCTTACTTACAAGGATAAAATAAATATGTTTTACATCCTACGAGGTTCTGTTCATGTTGTTTGAATTTAAGTGTTTACTTCTCCTCTACACTGCTGCTTCTCTTCCTCTCTTGTAACATCTGTGGCCTTCTGTACTTATATGATCTAATTGTGCTGCAGGTGCTGTCAAACTCTTGCTAAAACTAAAACGGAGCTACTCATTTACCACAGACAGTAATCAATCAATGGATAGTGCCTGATATGAGAGGCGAGCATCTAACCTCTCATCAAGTTCTATTCACCTCCCCTCTCTTGCTTTTTGCTTTGGATTCGACGGACATACAATATCTATCAATATTGCTAAAGATTGATTGTGAGATACAGTTTTTACCGATGAGGAACGAGTAAGGCCTTACTTTGCCAGAAGTGGATGATAAAAAGACGATCCGGAAAAAAAGTAGAAAAGGTTCTATATCTAAGCTTCATCGACTATTTGCCTTCATTCAATATGAACAGAAGAAAAACAAATGACAAATCCAAGAAGCACTGATAGATACCAACGCAATATTTTATTGCAACAACACCTATGAATTTTGAGGATTTGTCTTCATCTGTCATGCACAAATAGTATAATTACAAAGAATCTCAATAACTTCATAAAACAAACAAGTGTTAGAATTTGTGGATTTTTCTTTTGTTTTGAGCTGGAGTAAAGAGAAGCACATTGGCACAATAAATGGTCGTTTAGTGGCGGGAAAAAGTATGATAGACAGGAATGACAGAGGGAAAGTAAATAATTAACAGCCTACCAGAGGCGCCCTCCAACCCTTACTTTTGTTTGACCTTTTTCAAATACATGTACAAAGATTCTGCGATGCAATAAATACATGATGCAATCCGTAGACCTTCACATAGACATCATTAATAGACAAAATTCATCACAAGCACTATCAATTAACTTCATAATATATCATGCAGTCTTGTGGAGAATAACAAGGTGTGCTGCAAACAGTGAGACTTCTATAATAGTTGAAATCATGACATGATGAGATGCCATTTAACTACCAAATTTGCTGAAAGCTGCAAATTCAATGTAGAACAACTCTACCGCCGCACACAAGTTAAACATTTCACCTTCAACAAATTCAAACATTTTTTTTTACAACTTTCTAACATACAATATACTGATATCATCATCATTAGAATGATAATAATTATAATAATAGCAATAACAATAACAACAAAAATAACAATGATTGTGAGGAAGATGGTAACAATAATAGCATTTCATTTTCGAAACTACTTTTGTAATTCAATTTCTAGCGCAATTTCAATTGATTTTCTCAACAAAGGGTTATTTAGATCAAAAGGCACCAAAAGTTCCATCCTCCTTATAGGTTAAGTCGTGTAATAACCTGACTTGCTTCATAATCCTTCCTTCTGTTTTTACACCTTTTTCTAAATAATGATTAATTTTTAACGTCAAAATCTAACAAACAGTTTACAATATCATTAAAATAGTACATAGGGAAAAACTAAATAAATCTCAATGCCCAAATTTTTGGAAAATAAAAAAGATTTAAAGTGGCTGAAGGACAGGACTACACTGGTATGCAGCAAATGCCAACCATCTTTTTCCTTTTCATCTGCCTGGAATATATTAATTAACAACTTTACTTTAATTCACTATAAATTTAAGGTCCAATTTTAGAGAAATATATTAATAATAATGATTTACATATTTTGCGGGTAAAATAGTTATTATATATAGCTTTATAGTCTCCTTGTTAATAAAAATGTTTTAATCATATTACTTCATAACGACCTTTCCAGATCAAAGTTCAAAGTCAACTGACAACAGTAATTTCTGCCCCAAATGATATACTTTATTGTATGTACTGGGTATCACACAGAGATGGACAATTTGATTTCTCAATTGTCTGCAGTTTTTTCAAGGTTCCCCCTCCCCTCTCTACAATCTTTCCAACCTCTTAGACAGGAACAGATCTCTCAATACGAAAGAGGTAACAAGCTGATTTTCCTTTTAAAATATGAGAACATCATAAGGGGCGAATAATAATAATAATTATAACAATAATAATAAACAACACTAATAATAACAATAAATAATAGTCAAAATAATAATAATAATAATAATAATAAAAATAATAATAATAAAAATAATCTGGTGTCTCATAGCTTATTGATCATTGTTATTGTATTGGTTCTTAACAGCATGCCCTCAGGGCTCAGACGTCTTTCAAAATTTATCTGCATAGGACATGAGGGGTACTTAGATCACTTCTTGTTGTTAGAAACAATGTACGTGTTCCATACAAGAGACTATTGATGCAATAATTTCTTGCTGAAATGTGCTGTTGTCA